CACACACACACACACGCACACGCACACACTCACACGCACACACTCCTCTCTCACGCCTTCTGTTCTTCCCTCTTCATGTATCCAGAACAGTGTGAGTACAGTCTTGGGAGGATCCACCGGCAGACCCTGCCTCTGGATTTATTATTCTTCATTAGTTACAATCAAAGGAAAAGGGGGCAAGTGACAGAAGAAGAGATGGGCCAGAAATTACAGAGCGCATGTGCTGCCGAATACCACAACACACGCGCGCGCGCACATCCTCGGGGTCTGTGGCGGGCCCCACTTATCTTCGTTTCCACCGCTGCCGCGCGCCGAGACTGTTTTTAGCCGACACTTTGCTCGCACTTTTGTCCCAGTGCAGAACACTTTTCTCTAGAAGTGGACACACTTAGTTCCAGTTGCAAAGCCTGAAGACAAGCCCCCCACCCCGCACGCGCGCGCAAGTACACACTTGTACAAACGTAGCGTCTTCCTTCATGAGCCTATCTTCTCCCTACTTTCTGTGCTCTTGGGGTCTGCTGTCACCTAGAGCGTGGAAGTCTCGGGGATCAGGCAAGGGTGAGAAGCGGCCCCGTGGCTGGAACGCAGGAACCCGCGGGTGGCCCGACCCGGACGGGGCTGACCGGGCGCAGGTGCAGGCACTGGGAGCTTGGGGAAGGCGAGCAGGTGCGAGAGCAGGCGGCAGGCCTGAAAGGCGCTGGCGCGCGCTGGGACAAAAACAAAGTGGAAGAGTGTGGAAAGGAGGGACCCTCGGGTGGTTAGCACCCGGAAGCCCCGCGGCGGCAGCGGTTAATGGGGAGCCCCTGTCCACCTCTGACCTCAGCTGGGACGGACTGGGAGCTCCCGCAGGGAGCGTCGTCCTCAGGTGTCGCCCTAGTACCTAGGCTGCGGCTGTAAGCGCGCCCTGGGCTCTGTCCGAGGTCCTTAAATCTCTTTGGCATTCTTCCGGCATTCCCGGGCTCGCCTTTCTCTTCCCGGGTGCAGAGGAAAATAATGAATAAGTAGCCAAAGGGCATTCCTACAAGCAGTGCTCCCTTGTCTGAGCTTGGAGCAGTCTGGGCACGGGACCGGAAAGCAGGGTGATGACCTGAATGAACGGGGCTTGAGCTGAGCATTGCGAGTGTGTGGGAGCTTAATTTCTACCTCAACGAGAGCCAGGGTAATTTTCAGGAAACAAACAAACAAACAAAATAACATTGTACAGCTCTCGCCGTCTCAAGCTTCGCGAAATGAAATAAATCAAAGTTAAAAGCTTGAGTATCATTTAATTATGGTGCGAATAGCGCTTTGAAAGAAGTAGAACAACATCTCTAAACAAATTATGACTGGGCCAGGAAGGAATTATTAGATTGAAATTTCATTTAGGCTCGGGAGACACCGCGCTTCACTGTGTAATCTGCTATGCCTCATCTGATTTGTATGCTTAATTCAGCTTGACGAATTTATTAGTTTTCATAATAGTGAAAAAATTGAGCAGCACTGTGGGCTAATGCATTGTGTGTACTATAAATTGTATGTCATCGTGGAAAGGCTGAAGTCTATAGAAATCTTTTATTAATATCGGTGTAAGGGGGATTTTCGTGCAAGCCTCGGAGAGGTTCCTACCGAACTCCACTGCTGCTGTGTCTCACTGTTCCATTAGCATATCGTCATACTAATTAGACCACTTCATCAGTGTTACAATTTCAAACTTCAAATTATGTTCTAATTAACAAGGGTTGTCCAATTTGCTTAATCTTCAGAAAGCTTTGGATGATCTAATTAGTATAAACTGTTGAGCATCTCAAAAGCCCAATAAAAATCCATAAAACTGTTTTGGGCGTGTTTTCTATCAGTACTCTGTGAGGGCCAAAATGAGAGTAAAGGAGGAAAATAACAGGTAGACAAATGACTTCACCTACCTACTTTCCCCACATTATTATAGTGAGTGAATCTCAGAAGAAACTTTTGAGTATTGAAACCTTTAAATAGTGTGTTTATGTGTTTAAAAGAAGGCGCAAGAATATCTAGGAGAAAAACCACATGAGGAAAAAATTCTTCTCTTTCATTAGGTGCCTAATTAGATGTAAAGTAAAAGTAACCCTAAGGAGTTTCCCAAGCATTATTGTGGCAACAGTCTGCTGAGCTTAAATTGCAAAATCAAATATTTGGGGTGTTTTGAACCTCTGCTTGTCCCCTCCTCCTTCATTGAGCTTAATTACTTGCAATAGTTGTTTTAATGTATGTTGTCACCTGGGAGTATTGAGAAATGCATATCGTTAATATGAATTAATTTTGATTTTAATAGCAACTGACAACTGATCTCCAAAATGCTAAACACTTGTCACCACTTCATATGGCAAATAAGGTAATATAATAAATTCATGTAATAGAGATGGCACAGTTGAAATGATGGGATAAACTTTGATATGGAATATATTGACTAAAACTATTTTAAGTGAGAAAGTTCTCATGGAAATGTTTTCTTGGTGATTAAAATCCATAAGTCATAAATTAACCTTAACATTACTTTTCTTTTTACCTCTCACTTATTTCTCAGCGTATTTCTAATTCTAGGCAAGAAAAAAGAAAAACCTTGCTTTCTCATTATCAAGTTGTGGTAAATTAATATGTGGTTGTAGGGCAATTCAGGAGTTTATTTACCTGTATTTCCTTCCCCCAAGAAAACACATACATTTTTAAAAAGTCAAGTCAGAGTTTGAATTCTTTTTCCATTCAGAGTGAAAAATGAACAACGATTGTGTTGCATTAAAGGGGAAATGCAATCCTTCCTTCATCACCATCACTTGCAGTCTTGCAATCTCTCCCTTCAGCAGTGTCCAGAATACCAACGTCCTTGCAGTGATATCAATAAAACCCATTTCAGTTTTGCCCACAGGCATTGCTGCAAAGTGCTCTGGTGAGTATGAACGCTGCTCTTAGAGGAAGAAAGAGTCCAGCCCCCCAGTTAGCAAAGGCCATCTAAATAACCAGAAAGTTGGCAATAAACCCAAGGGCAGGGAGCAGATGGCCCGCATCAGAAATCTGCTCCTGCAATCCAGTGTACCCTTGTATGCCCAAGCCCTCCTTCACACCTACAGACCCACCTAAAGGGAAAATGGAAAAGATGTTTTTTGAAACAACAGAATTGGGGAAAATAAATCAACTGTGTGATTACAGGAGTCTTTCCCTTCTCACCAAGCCTCTTTGTTTGACAGTAGCTTCTGTCCCATCCGCCAGCAGAGGAGAACAGATGTGAACCACTTCCCTCTGGCAAAGAGAAGTCCACCAAGGCTTCCTGGCAGTGGGGTCCCTGAAGTATGCGCCCCCCACCCAGAAATCGACCCATGATGGAAGCCATTCTGAGGGGAGAAATCACTGCCTCCTCCTTGTTTCTGGGTCCTAATTTACTATTAAAATTTTAAGCACTGCATTCATATTTTACTGTACCTAATGTGTTTTTATTAAAATTTAATCTATGAAGGGCAGTGCGATTTCTTTGTATTTCAAACAGAATTGAATTAGACTACAAGAAAGATTTCTCAAAAGACAGATCTGGCCCTATTGTGCACCATTTCACTCTTGAGCAGACAGAGGTGCTGGAGGAAAGAGGGAAAGGATAGATCCACTCCATCCCATCACTGGTGATGTGGGGATTTCAAGGAGGTCGCCAATCTGCTTTGGGTTCTAAAGAGAAGACGAACTCCCTCGGGTGCTTTCCCCAGTCTCTGTGGCTTAAGGCAAAAGGGGAGTTGGGTGAGGGAGGTAGGGGTGAGAGTTTAAACTCACACACTACCCTGGCTCTCCTGGGAAGAAAAAAGAAGAGGAAAATGGGACTTATCCCTATAACTGGGAATTTTGGAGCCTCCCAAGTATCTGGTCACAGAGTGAAGTGCAGGGAGACAGGATTCTCCCGGATTCATGTGTTGAGATCACGATCTGGGTTGAGGACAGGTTGGTGTATTTCCCTCAGACATCTTCCCTCTTCTCAGTATGCCCACCACTGTCCCTACTTTAGTGGAACTTTTCCTCTCCACTGGCTCCCGGGAGCCCCCAGATCTCTCTGCTGCAGGTTAGAAGAAGGCCCCCTTTCCAAGACACCTATACTTTCCTTCTCTCAGTGTATTCCAGGCTGACTCTAACCCCAACCTCCCAGAGCAAGAAGTCTGCGAGTGTCTCTGGAAATCCCCCTGCCCAGCAGGCTCTTTTAGATCGA